GCGTGGAGGGAGGGGGGGGAGGGGTCATAGAGAGAGGGGAAGGGGAGGAGGGGGAGGGGTCATAGAGAGAGGGGAAAGGGGGAGGTGAGGCGTGGGGGGAAGTGGGAGGTGAGGCGTGGGGGGAGGGGGGGAGGGGTCATAGAGAGATGGGAAAGGGGGAGGTGAGGCGTGGGGGGAAGTGGGAGGTGAGGCGTGGGGGGAGGGGGGGGAGGGGGGAGGGGTCATAGAGAGAGAGGGGAAAGGGAAGGAGAGGCGTGGGGAGAGGGGGAGGTGAGGCGTGGGGGGAGGGGGGGAGGGGTCATAGAGAGAGGGGAAAGGGGGAGGAGGGGTATGGGGGGAGGGGGGAGGAGGTGCCTTGAGGTCGTTGAGTGGGTAGGATGGGTAGGGGAAGGGGTTGGGGTAGGGGAAGGGGTTGAGGTAGGGGGGAAATGGGGAAGTTTGGGTATTAGGGTAGGGGAGGGGTAATGTGTAGTGAGGTTAGGGGATGGGTAGAGTGAGGTAAGAAAGGGATAGGGGAAGGGAGAAGTTTAAAAGGGGTTGGGGAACGTGGAGGGGGGGGATGAGGGGGGTATGAGGGAAGGGAAAGAGTAGGGATAGGGGGTATTAGGGAATGGAATAGGGAGTATGAGGGAAGGGAAAGGCGAAGGGGGGGGGGGCGTGAGGGGAAGGATAGGATGTATAAGGTATAGGGGGAGGGGGGGTTATGTGTGAATGTATGAGTTGGTGGGTAAAGGGGAGGGAAGGGGGAGTGGAAGGGGAAGGGGGAGGGGAGGGAGGAAAGGGGAAGGGGAAGAGGGAAGGGGGAGGAAAGTGGAAGAGGAAGGGAAAGGAAGGGGAAGGAAGGGAAGGAAGGAGGAAGGGGAGGGGAAGAGGAAGTGGGAAGGGGGAGGAAAGGGGAAGGAGAAGGGAGAGGGGAGGAGAGGGAGGAAAGTAGAAGAGGAAGGGAGAAGGGGGAAGGGGAGGGAGGAAAGGGGAAGGGGGAGGGGGAGGGGGGAGGGGAGGAGGTGAGGGGACGAATGATCTCTTGGGCGTCAACCCTTTTCTTGTCTCAAAGTCTCAAAGTCCGTGCGATCTTTTTCTTTCCTTATTATCCTTTATTTTATCCCCGTCTTTCCTTTTTCTGTTTTTTATTTCCTCCTCTTCTCTTTCTTTTCTCTTTGCTCTCTCTTCTTTTACAACAAAAAGAGGAGAATAGAAGAGAAATGAGAGAATAGAATAAAATATAATGAAAGAGAATACAAGAGAAGAAGAGAGAAGAAAATAGAGAAGGAGATAATAGGAAAGAAACGGAAGAAAACGAAAAGAAAAGAGGAGAGTGGGGGAATGACGTAAGAAACAATAGCGTCTTCCTAGACATTTCCCTCGTCTGGCATGGGAAGGAAATGCACGTGACATGACTCTCTATCTATGTCTATCTGTCTCTCACTCTCTCTCTCTCTCTCTCTCTCACCCTCTCTCTCTCTTCTCTCTCTCTCTCTGTCTGTCTGTCTCTCACTCTCTCTCTCTTTCTCTCTCTCTCTCTCTCTCTCTCCTTTCCTCCCTCCCTCTCTCTCTTCCTCCCTCCTCTCTCTCTCTCTCTCTCTCTCTCTCTCTCTCTCTCTCTCTCTCTCTCTCTCTCTCTCTCTCTCTTCTCTCTCTTTCTCTCTCTCTCTCTCTCTCTCTCTCTCTCTCTCTCTCTCTCTCTCTTCTCTCTCTCTCTCTCTCTCTCTCTCTCTCTCTCTCTCTCTCTCTCTCTCTCTCTCTCTTTCTCTCTCTCTCTCTCCTTACATGAAAATAGTACAATGAACATTAATCAAGAAAAATAAAAAATAAATAAAAAAAACATACCCGTAATAAGAAATAGACATTGATAATCTTTCAGACACGTAATGAATCATAAGAATATCTTTGATGAGACGCAGAGTATGATCAAAAAATATGTTGATTAATGAAAATAAAGCAAAGTGAGAGTTTAAAGATATGAAATAAATAAATAGATAAATGAGTAGATAGGTAGATTGATAAACAGGTAAGTAATAAAGAAATGAATGAATAAATAAATAAATAAATAAATGACTAAAAAAAGGAGGGGTGAGAAGCACTGACAAGGGGGGGGGGTAAGAGGCTCTGACAGGGGGATAGGCAGATATGATATATGAAAATGAATTTTATATACATCCGTATAGGTATAGATATGATATATGGAGGTTGATATGAAGTGATTTCTTGACCTCATTTCCTTACTAAAAATGACCTTTTCTCGTAATATTACTCATGAGTATCGATTAGAATAAAATGAATGTATGAACAAATAATGATAATAAAAAAGTAACACAAAATGAAATATTTATAGACACATAAGATAATGCAATCATACTAATAACTTTAAAACACATCTATGCTAAACAAACTCATTAATACCATGCATTTATATCTAAATAAATTCACACTATCCTATAATTCATACGAATTCCTGGTAGCACAGTTTTTATCTTTTGCTAAAACTAAATCACCAGCTATGTATACTTCCTGTTTACTGCGGTATTTTGAGAAGAAAGGAAAAGGACGACTAAGCGGTTAAATATATGTTAAACTAAATGGATATGTACAGTCACGTTCGAAACCCTTTATTTGTGTGTGTGTGTGTGTGTGTGTTAAGCCTATGTATGCATGTGCGTGGTAATTTTTTCTTTCTTTCTTCCTTTTTTTCTTTTCTTTTCTCTTTTAGATTTTTAAGATTTGAGAAGGTTTTCGAAGCTCCACTCACGACACTCCGTTTATCCGTGACTGTACAATACCCTCCCAAGTTCCCACCGCTAAACGTTACTAAACGTGTAAATTCGGTTCGACTCTTTTCTTTTCGAATCTAAACTATACCTATAAGCATGAGCTTCGGATCCATGAATCGAAACATAGATTCACACATTGACAACGCTATGTGTAGAGTTTGGGAGTGAGGAAAACAGAACAGTTGCCTCAAGAAGTCCCTATATATCCGGTGTTATACTTCTCTCATTGTGCTATACTTTTCCCCTGTTATACTTTTCCCCCCTTTCCCCTGTGTTATATTTTTCCACCTTGTCATACCCTTCCTTGTGTTATACTTTTCCCCTGTGTTATACTCCCTCTCCCTTTCCCCTGTGTTATATTTTTCCCCATTGTTAAACTTTTTCCTTGTCATACCCTTCCTTGTGTTATACTTTTCCCCTGTGTTATACCCCCCACCCTTTCCCCTGTGTTATATTTTTCCCCTTTATTAAACTTTTTCCCCTTGTTAAACCCTTCCCCTTGTGTTAAAAATTTCTCTCCAGAATGCGCGCGCCCTCTTTGTGGTAACGGAATTTACTGTGACAAATGGGCATTCCTGCTGTAACGACAGACGTGAGTAGTGGGCATGTGTACCCCAGACGTCTGAAGGAGCAGGTGAGGTTATGTAAAAGAGGAAGTAATTATAACATCACCAGATGACATGACTGGCAGGTAATGTTATGTAAAATAGGGTACGGATTATAACATAACCAGACGGGGAGTAACTTTTTTTTTCTTTGAGGCAACTGTCCAAAACAAAAAACAAAAACAAAAACAAAAATTAAATATAAGCGAATTGTTTTATAAGCGAAAAGGCAAAGCATAAAAACTAAATCTATGTTAACATGTAAACCTTTTCTCTCAATCTAAGAAGCCGTAAGATTAAGCAAGAAACGAAAAATAAGCGATTGAATAAAAGGAGGAGGGAGGGGAGGAGCATAGGGGCAGCTGGTGGTGACCAGTAACGTTCAGCCAATTATCTGTCGAGGATTTGGCGCCGTAAAGTGATCAGCCAATTATCTTTCGAGATTTTGGCGCCGTAAGACGATCACCCAATCATCTCTCGAAGATTTGGTGCCGTAAAAGGATCAGCCAATCATCTCTCGAGGATTTGGCGCCGTCAGATAATTAGCCAATCATTTTAAATCTTTTAAACTTGAAAAAAACGTTACTGGAATATTTCATCGAAGTGCTTACTGTTAGTGAAATATTAATTTCTTTGGGTTCCTATGGAAAAGAAAGAGTAAAATGTAAATTGTAGTAAGTTTTGTTATACAAATAAGAGGACTGAAGGGATTTTTTTTTAGAAATAAATAGACTGAGCGTTAGGTAAACAAAAGAATAAATGAAAATTAAATCATAGAGCAACAGAGCAAAAATAACAGCATAAAATAACTTAGAGAAATAACATTACAGAATAGCAAAAATCAATTTACATTACAGAACAACAAACTTTAAATCACATTATGCCATCTTATTGAACATTCGAATTAACACATATCGTCATACAAAAAAAAAAAAAATCACATTATCTTTAATCCTTTCATCATAGCACTATTATTTAACTCAACTCGATCCATAAATAGGAATTACTGGTCTTACGCAAATAAGTAAATAAATTGGCAAAGGGTGTTTATTCTTGGTCCTAATGGGTAGTTCTTTACAGCAAACGACAGGCAAGACTAATATTTATAAATCACGGTGTTTTACAGTGTTGGTTTTTATGTGTATGGGGAGGGGGGGTGTTTGAATGCGTGTGTGCGGGTGGGTGAGTGTGAATTGGAGTGTGTTGCTGTGTGGGTGGTTGTTTGGGTGTTTGGATATGTGAAAGTGTGTGTGTGTGTGTGTGTTTGTTTATTTGTGTGCTTGTGTGTGTGTGTGTGTGTGTGTGTGTGTGTGTGTGTATTAGCATACATATGCATCTGTGTGGAACTGGGTATACATGTGTGTGTGTATATATATATATATATATATATATATATATATATATATATATATATATATACATATGTATATACATACATGATAAAAGGTATACATATGTTTTTGTATATGTATATATATGTGTGTACCAGACATACATACTGGCCATATATCTATGTACCCGTGAGGTATATTAGGCGTGTTATCAACCCCATTAAGTTTTATCTAAGTCCCTAACATGTATATCTTTGTAAAAAACGTATAAAAAAACGTTTAAATATAATAAGCACCAGCTGTTCCATCCTCCATACCCAGCCAGTCATGGAACCCGCTATCTTCCATGGGGTCGTTACTATCCATGCAGGGGGAGTGGGTGGGGGAGGGCGTGGCCTGCGTGGAAGAGGCGGAGTCTGGGCTTCCAGGCTCCTCCCACGAAGAGGCTGGTGTACCCTGGGCTGCCGGGCGGGCTGTCCACGTCGCCATCTTTGCGCGGGTGTCTGCCAGAGAGAGAGAGAGAAAAAGAAAGATTAGTTTGGAAGGATTCTGTTTTGTGTTCATTCAAGAGAGGATAGATACATACATATACATACAGACATATATGTGTGTATATATATATATAAGATAGATAGACAGGGAAGTCGTTGTTTAGATAATCATTATTGGTGGTTCTCAACTCACCGTCATATCTACGATAGACTCATCTATTACCGTATCTAAAAAATATGCAAATTAAAATTATGCAAACTGAGCGAGTGTACATAGTATTATATTATCAACGTTAGTCTAAAATACACTCCAGATAATACGTACTGTCATATATATATATATATATATATATATATATATATATATATATATATATATATATATATATGCGATTGAAAAAATATTTTGAAGGAATTTTTGACTTGTGTTGAGACGATATATACTTGTACACATATGGTTTGTCAGATAAACATATATATTCAGATAGATTGACAGTTCTTTTTTCTTCTCTTTTAGTACTCCTCCTTTTTCTTATACTCTTCCCTCCCTCCTTCCTCCCCCTCCTTTCCCTCTCCCCCTCTTCCTCCACCTCCTCTCCTCCTCTTCCTCTTCCTCTTTCTCTTCTTCTTCCTCTTCCTCTTCTTCTTCCTCTTCTCCCTTACTTCCTCCCTTCTCCTTCTTCTTCTTCCTCCTCCTCCTCCTCCTTCTTCCTTCCTCCCTTCCTTCTTTCCTCCTTCCTTCCCTCCTCCTCCTCCTTTTTTCCTCTTCCCCCTCCTTCTCATTCTCCTCCTCCTTCCTTCCTGCCTTCCTTACTCCTCCTCCTCCTGCCTTCCTCCCTTCCTTCCTTCCTTCCTTCCTCCCTTCCTTCCTTCCTCAACAATACTTCCGTGACTACGATCCTAAACTCGCCTTTTCAGATCTGTCCACAAAAGCCATTGCACGAATTAAAAAATAAAAAGAAAAAAGAAAGAAAGTTATTAATGGACGTGATCTTAATAAATGACGTATTTTCCCTTCACTCCAGATGGTACGTACTGTCAGGTGGTGTGAAGATGGTGACGTAGACAGATGGTTTTTATTTGCTCGATGGTTGGCGAGGAAGAGGCAGTCAAGCTGTTTACTTCAGAAATACTTTTTTTTATCTCTTTCTCTCTCTTTCCTTTTCTCTTTCTCTCTCACTCTCTCTCTCTTTCCCTTTTCCTCTCTCTCTCTCTCTCTCTCTCTCTCTTTCTCTCTCTCTCATTTTCTTTATTTTTTCGTGGTTTCTCTTTATTTTCTTTTAGATTTATCTATTTGTATTAATTTCAATTGTTTTTCCCTTTTTCCCTTTTTGCTAGTTTCGTTTTTTTTTCCACATTTCTGTTGCTGCTGTATATATTTTTGTTATTTATTCCTCTTTCGTTTATTCTCGTTTTTCTTTCCATTCATCTTCTTTTATCACGTTTTCGTTTATTTCCTTTCTTGCATCATCCATTCTTCTCATTCACTTCATCTTTTCTCTTCTCTCCTCTATTCCCCTCATTTGTCTCTTCTCTCTCTCTCTCTATCTCTCTCTCTCTCTATCTATCTATCTATCTATCTATCTATCTCTCTTTCTCCACCTTCCTTTTCCTTCTCCTCTTCTTGTCTCCTTTCTTGTAGTTTTCTCAGTGTTTCTCATTCGCTTTCTAGAACCAATCTTTACTATTATTGTTATCATCATTGTTATTTTTATTATTATCATCTTTATCATTGTTATCATCACTGTTACTTTTATTATTATTATTATTATTATTGTCATTATCATTATATGATTCTATTTTCCCATATTCATCGGCGATGATACTAGTGTCTACCCATCGTTGGGATATAAGATGATACTTTTAATTATATTTCTGAGAGCTGGGGGCTTTTATTTTCGTTTTCTTTAACTCCAAGGTTGGTGAGTGTTGGGGAGTCTTTATTTAGCCTTTATTTGAGTCTTTATTTATTGGGGAGTCTTTATCTGGCCTTTATTTGAGTCTTTATTTATTTAGGTTTGGGAGGGTTGGGGAGCATTAATTTAGGTTGGGGAGGGTTGGGGAGTCTTTATTTAGCCTTCATTCGAGTCTTAATTTATTGGGGAGCATTTATTTAGGTTGGGGAGGGTTGGGGAGCCTTTTATTTTCGCTTTCTGTTAACTCCAAGGCGTTCTTGACGAGACACTGAAGACTGCATGCGAAGACGAAGTTTGGTTACGCGAACGCCTTTCTCAAAATAGTTTTTTTTTTTTTCTCTTTTCTTTTTCTTTTTTTTAAGAGGGGGGATCTATCAACCTCTCAAGCC